TCAATTTAACTGGAATTCCACCAGCTCCTCGAGGAGTACCCAAAGTAGATGTAACATTCGATTTGGATGCTAATGGAATTTTGAATGTGACTGCAAAGGAGATGAGCACCGGAAATGCTAAGAATATTACTATAAAGAACGATAAGGGACGGCTTTCACAAGCAGACATCGATCGTATGGTAAATGAAGCTGAGAAATATGCCGAAGAAGATGAAAAACACCGTCAACGCATAGCTGCTCGTAATCAACTTGAAAGTTATGTGTTTGGTGTGAAACAAGCTGCTGACGAAGCGGGAAGTAAATTAAGTCAATCAGATAAAGATCGAGTACTGGAGAAATGTAACGAGACAATTAAATGGCTTGATGGCAATACCACTGCCGAAAAGGAGGAGTTTGAGTATAAGCTGGAGGAGCTAACGAAAATATGTAGTCCAATTATGACAAAAATGCACCAGCAAGCCGGAGGTGCTGGTTCGCAACCTGGTAATTGCGGTCAACAATCTGGTGGTTTTGGCGGTGGTAATTCTGGTGGCAAAATAGTTCGGATTACGTATTGCTTATTTTTGGCTTCTTTTAACTTATTTAATATTAAGTAGGACGTCTTCTTCAGAAATAATTGAAGCGTTAATTAAAGTATTCGAACACAGCACGCTCTGATAAGAAAAGTTTTGGAAAATTCTAAGTAGTTTGACGAAAAATAAAGTGACTTAAAATCACAAATTTATATTTTGATTTAAATTTCAGTTTATGAAAATTTAATCATTTCAAATAAAATGACTAACCTCAAAGCGAGTGTGACAGGATAAATGACGGTGCATTTAATACAATTAAAACTCCCTTGTCAAAAATTCTGCTCAATTCCCCTTCCTATGGTTTCAATTTCATAACTACCGAACATGGCTACTGCAAATTAAATCAAGTGACAAGTATCAACAGTTTGTATAAATTTCTGTTACTTTTGGAAAAATTTAATGTGCTTTAATTGAGAACGAAAACCTTTTCATCTATGATGCAATATTGTAGTAATCTTTAAATAACTACAATAAACTAATCTGTGGTAGTAGATGCTGTTTTTAATATATTTCAATATCTGGTACTCAGTACCTAGAAACAATTAGATATCTAAGTACATATTTACATACTTGCATATCTGTATCAGATCGAACAGTCATATATATAATTTATTGCTATTGTTAGGTAAAGATATTTCCACATTTCTCCAGACCTGATTGTTGTAATAATCAACCTGAAAGATCAACAAAATATTATTTTGAATACCTATAAATGAAAAACACCACTTTCTTTTCAAAATATTTGGATAGCGGTCGCCTTTATTTAAATTATGCTTACAAATTAACTCTCACTAATTACGCTACAAAACTTCAGCACTAAAAATATTCCAGCATACCATTTAAAATATTAACAATTTATAAGAACTTAAAATATCTAAGACTTTCGAGTCTTGTATAAACTAGTGCTAATTACTATAATAATTTTGCACAACATTTGTGACTCATATTGTCAACTTCTAATTTCTGCGACTGTTGGTCACCGA